GACGGCTAATCTTGAATGATTAATAACGCTGAATAACAGTTAAAACTAGAACTAACACTAGACCTAGAACTAGAAAGTTTCGGGTTTACCCGTCTTAACAGACGTACGGCTTAGCCCAAATGTTTCTAGTTCTAGACCTAGTGTTAGTTCTACTTTTAGTTCAATAAAAATATACAACAATCTAGCCAAATAACAATTAAACCTAGAACTACCGTCTTTGATTTATACATTGTATAGACAACTCGGAGTATACCCCTAATTTATCTATGAACATAGAATAGAGGTCCATTATATCGAGGTTTTACTGTATTTCCAATATTTAAATGCATTTAAAGAAAAGAGTTCACTGTGATAAAATATATAATTTGTGACTTTCAAATCCGAATTTTATTATTAAAAGGTTGAGCCGTTTCTTGATAACTTGCCCAACGTTCAAAACAATTGCATCACAAATAGATTTTTAACGATTTGTTTCAAAACTATTTAATTATAATTAATCTCTAAATGTACGATTGTGTTTACAAATTTTTATCTCCGAATTTAAATGAGATTTTTGAAATTAGATTTCACCATAACAAAATACATTTACATCTTTATATATCATAACACTATTCGAAGAAAAAGATTTTTATTTTTAACGTAAAAACTATATTGAAATGAAAAAATCATATCTCAAGAAATAATTGTGATATAAAGATAAAATAAAACGATTCCTCATTTTTAATAAAAACCTGGTTGTTATGATTTTTTCAACTCAACTCTACATTTTACCTTATTTGTAACAAAAAAGGAAATTAAAAAAAAATTATTTCAAGAACGAATTGAGATATCATGATGAAATAAGCATTTTAAAGCAAATTTTATGTGCCATAAATAATTTCTTATTATTTATAAACCTAGTTGTTATGATTTTTTAAGCTCAACTCTACATCATAACTTTTTCAAAAGAAAACGATTAAAAAATTATATCTCAAGATCGAATTGAGATATCATGATGATATAACAAATATTTAAAAGCTAATTTAATGAATATCTTAGTTTCTACAAATCTGGTTGTTACGATTTATTAAAGTGAGCTTTGCGTCTTAACTTATTTAAAACAAATAGGAATTTAGTATAGAGTATCTCAAGAACGAATTGAGATATGATGATGAAATAACAAACATTGTAAAGCAAATTTAATGTGTTATAAACTATATCTTATTTTCTATAAACCTGGTTGTTATGATTTTTTAACCTCAACTCTGTATCTTAACTTATTTTTAACAAAATTAAAATTTAGAAAATTGTATCTCAAGAACGGATTGAGGAATAATGTTGAAATAACAAACATTTTAAAGCAAATTTTATGTAAATTTAATATATCAGAAGTAATTTCTTATTTTCCACAAACCTCATTGTTCTGATTTTTTAAGCTCAATTCTGCGTTTTAATTTATTTAAAAAAAGTAAGATTTTAGAATATCATATCTCAAAAAGGTATTGCAATATCATGATGAGATAACAATCATTTTTAAGCAAATTTATGAAGATTTCATGTGTCATATAGTGTTTTATTTTCTATAAATCTAGTTGTTACAATTCTTTAAGATCAACTCTGTATTTAATAAAAGAAATAGGATTTTAAAATATGATATCTCAAGAACGTATTGAGATATTATAATGAAATAACAAACATTTTAAAACAAATCTAATGAAGATTGTCTCAACCCAACCTCAATTCTCTATCTTAACTTATTTAAAAAAGTAGGAATTCGGAATATCATATCTCAAGAACGTATTGCAATATCTTGATGAAATAGCAAGCATTTTAACGCAAATTTACTAGAGATTTAATGTTATAAATAATCTGTTATCTTCCTTTTTAAAATTCTATATTAAGAATCAGTTGAGGTATTATGTTGAAGCAGCACACATTTTAAAGCAAGTTTAATGAAGATTTAAAGTGTCAAGAATGTGTATACCATTTTTTAACTGACTAAAGCAACCAGTTATACCATATTTCGATGTAGGATATTCCATGAACACTAAGTAGCATTTCAGCCATTAGGACGTTTACGCCAACATAATAACTTGTTGATAATTTTGAACGAATTTGTCCAATGTTACTCCAGTCATAGTTGGTTGATTAATACTGCCATGTTGGATACAAGTAGACCTTGAAAGTGCTAAGTTGTGTAGACTTTCTATATCATAGTCCCGTGATATAGAAAAGACTCATCATATAGATAAGTTTTCTTCATCTTCATTCGTTAGTAATATGTTAATCCAAATAGCCCCATTGATATGTCTCCAACTTTTTTACCCTCCCAAGTCAGCATATCGCCAACCACATCATGTCGATTGTTATCATCAGGTCAAGTTTATGTATTTGGTGTTTGATTGTAGGCTCGCTTTGTTTTTGTAACTTTGCAGATGATGTTATGGCAATAATTTGGTGCTAATGCGCTGGTACACATCATTGAAGGACGTGCGAAAGAGCGTAACCTCATAGGCTATGTAATACTATTTACTTTCAAAAAGTAATTAATAAGTTAACAATGAGTAACATCAGACACGATGAACCTAAGACATCTTTGTACAGACTCCAAACTAGTAACGGAAAAAATGATCGATGGAATTGGCTTAATACTAAAAGTTAGGAAGGAATTAGTGAGAAATACCAAGAGTGACAAGCTCTTGCAAGTAAATTTATAGATTTGCAATAATGTTGGTTTTGTTCTGAATAAGGGTTCAATTGTGTTAAGGTATTTGTGAACAGGTTTCTTTTTGCGGACGATGGCTTAATGTTTTTGTGCAAAACATTGAGGACACTTCAAATATCCTGAAATCATAGAAAAAAAGTATTATCTATTATGTGTGATCTATTATGTGGATATTTTTCTCCAAAATGCACTCCAATATATTAGTAGCAATAAAATAAGATAAATATAAATTAAAAGGTTGTTTATAAGATAAGAAATCTCATTTCCTTCATTTTATACATTAATTGTCTATTATAAGCTTAAATCAATAAATAACTAGGATTGATTAGTTTGGTTTAAATTTTACGACTTACTATCGTCTTCTAGACTGTGAGCTCCTAGAATAAAACAAGTTGAATATTTGTGGGGCGGAAAGAAAAACAAATGTTATTCGTGTAGAGAAGGAAAGTAAGAAGGAGAAGGAGGAAAAGCATGGCTGGAATTATAGTTTCGTATCCCATCACGAGTAATGACCGGGAGGCAATGTTTATTTTAAATTTAATTGCGGCGCCCCCGGTCCGCGTTTTACGCGACGGAACAAATAAATAAATAACGCGGGGCAGCGGCTGCCATTAAAAAGTAATTTCGTTTGTTGTAACGAAAGCGAGAGCGCGCGACTCGGCAGCAATTCATCACGCCCTTGCGTCAGGGCGATGATTGCACCTTTTCGTACGTACCAATGTAAATAAAATGTAGATATCGGGTTGCAACATCTCATTAGGTTCCTATCTCTCAACAGCCTTGGTTGCTGTTGAACGGCGACAAAAAAAAACGAATCCTACGTTGCAATTTTCTCTTATAAGTCTTCGAGATGAAGTTGTTCAAATTAGGCGCGAGACGTTCGATGACAGATGCGAACGTTCGAAGTTCTTCGTTACAAAAAAAGAGGCAGGGAGCGCGATTTCGATCGCATTCGTCATATGTCATATTAGTTGCGCGGCTTAATACGCGCCGTTTCTGCGGTTATGCTGTAATTAGGGACGATCTCGACTGCATAATGTTGATTGCGAGAGTCACATGTCGTCGCGGCACATTGCCATCCGATAAAATTATTACTTACGCCACATCGTTTTTTTTTCTTTTGAAGAGGGCGGTGGAAGAATACTACACGTCTTAAGAATGTATTTATGTAATCCATCATTCGAAGGAAGTCGTTAAATGTACTTAGATACAGGGTGTCTCATTTACATTCTTTACAACTCTTTAAATAACTTACGTAACATACCAACTAAAATACTAATAACTCTTCATCAAAGAAACATTCGCAAGAATATGAAATCTTCAAAGAATTTTATTGTTACACGGAGTGTACGTGACGTTTTTACTTATGGTTGTTTTTTTCTTTCTCGCACTATTTAGTGGTTCTGTCGTCGTTCGCAGATGTCATAAATTTAAATGGTTTATAAAAATGAATCGCCCTCATCATACTAATCAAGAGACCGGGTAATTACAATGTGTGTACACTCTCGGAATAGCTATTGCAATAAACGCAAACCCAACTCGTCACGCACCGTCTCGATATTACAAACAAGCGGCAAAACGCGGTTTTAATTGGCGATACTATCTGCGGAATTCGCATTTGCATAATCGAACAGGGCATTAAGGGATAAGAACACGCCTATAAGAAACAGTAGCCCAACTCTTAAACCGGGAAATCGAATCGACTTGAAGAGTACCACTGAAAATAATCAAGAATTTAAATTATTCTAACAAGAACGATTTGAATCATTACTCTGTAATTAACTTCGGAATGTTACATTATTGCTACGGAATAACAAAGTTTAATAAGAAGGAAGTATGATTGGAGTGAAGTGTGAGTTGATAGGAATGGTGATTAATGCAAAATCGAAGCTTATTAAAGTAAAATAAGCGAGGATCTTGATAAGCGTCGTGTAGCCGTAATCACTTATCGCAAAACGCATTAGCGCTACCGCACAACTAATTGTGACAAGGTGTTTATACGCGATTTTAATGGGACTAGAACACACGCGACGACGTATGTGTACACGGTGGCGCCAGCGTGCGTGTTTGTAGCGAACTTTTCAAAAGGGTCGCGGCAATCGTCGCGGACATTTTGAATAAAACACGCCGACCGTTATTATAATTTATATAACTTTTCCCGCACGAAACTCTGCCCTCTGGTCGGTTTGATATAAAAATTCCGCGTCAACCTACACCATAATTCGTGCCCTCCGCCCCGTCGCATCGCCGTTTTGTATTTATGGTGTGTCCTATAGTACGATTTCTATTGTTTCAGAAGCTACTTCCACAAAACGTAAGTGTTTTCCCCTTCTTTACTTTTGCCGAGATTACATCTACCCAACCCAAAGAGTAATTGGAGAAGTTAACAGCCGCACGAAAGCTTTTCTTTATTTGACGTTCCCGATGTGTGGGCGATACCAGTATTTTAAGCACCTTCCTTCTCGACTACGAAAATAAATGCATGCTATAAATATCTTCGTAAACATTAATAAAATTGATTTATACTTTGACACAAAAAATTGTTATTAAATTTAAATTACATTTTTTCATTAATCAAACAAGAAACATAATGGGTTTAAAACGTTTTTTAAAGGCTACATTACAAAAGGGTATCGTCTCGGGGGATTTTGACATCCAGGGATAAACTGGAAGTAAATTGTGACATAATGGAACGAGGTAGAAATGGTGGTAAAAAACGTGTATTAATCGACCCTATTAATACGATTTTGTGGTCAACTCGAAGTAGAGTAACTCGAGGACGGAAGGAAACGAGTAATTTGTAAAACTCCGACGACTGCGAAGTGATCAATTAGCGGGCTTTTAAACCGACCCGCTAGGGTGGCGCGCGTGCACGATTCCCTCTTCTTCTTCTAATGGGATTATCGATCCTGGCAGATTCTAACACGAAATAACCGAACGCATCTTTAATGCAGGTCTTTGAAAGGAGGAAGTCTTTGACGTGTCCGCCTGGCGCGAGTTAGGGTCATATGTGAAGCGCGAGCATTACTAATGCAGCGGATTGCATGAAATAGAAATCAAACGATAGAACGTTGAGCACATAAGGGCGTTGGATTCGAAGAAACGTCCTTTTAATAATTCACTATTTGAAATGTAGCTTAAAATAGAAATAGGTAGTTTAAATTGAAGTTCTGGGGGTTGTTTGAGAATTATAACAAAAATAAACAGGAATAATCAATTAGTTCTTAAGAAAAGATTAAACATTTATAGATTTATATATAGGAAATAAAGAAAAAAAGTACAGTAAAACCTTGATATAACGAATTAATGCATGAAAGGAAGTATATATTTTAACATTAAAATCCGTTATATGAAAAATTTCTATTGTGCACAACTCGATGGCCCGTTCGCGACGTCAGCGTTGAATAACAACTAAAACTAGAACTAACACTAGAACTAGAAACATTCGGGTTTTAGCCGTGCGTCTTTTAAGACGGCTAAACACGAATGTTTTTAGTTCTACTATTAGTTCAATAAATTTTTTAAACAATTTAACGGTGAATAACAATTAAAACTAGACCTAGATTTATAAAAATTCTAAATTTTCTAATTCGAGGTCTAGTGTTAGTTCTAGTTTTAGTTCAATAAAAATATAACAAGTAAAACTATAACTACCGTCCTTCATTTATACATCGTATAGACAACTCGGGGAATACCCCGAGTTTATCTATGAATAATAACCCGAAATGTATTCTATTTACGAGGGCTAACATTTACATTTAAATATACTGATGTATTAAATAGATAATACGACTTCAAAATATTTTCTTCGTTATATCCGAAGTCCGTTTTAACGAGGTTTTACTGTAGTGGTCATTTTAAAGGGAGGAGTTTTAGTTGATCTCCATTTTCCTGTGTAACAGTGCAGTATAACACGCCCGTATATGCTAATTTTATAGAACACGTAAAGGGGGGAAGAACTAAGGTGCGCAAAAGATGATGCCCCACGACCCATTACGTTCCGCGAATCGTGCATATGTCCGTATAAAAAACGCATGGCCGCATATTTTTTTCCTTCTTTTCTGAAAATTACTACTTGAGCACCGATTGTTGCGGCGACGCTAAGTGGAACGGGAGAGGGGAGAAAAGCCGGAAACGCGATTTCCCGGAACGGTGGCCATTTTTATATCGGCTCTAAATTGTCAAGCTCACAAGCGATTCTTTTGTATCTAGTAATATGAAGTTGCGCGTTGGCACGCCGTAAAAAGGTAAGCCGCGAGATATATTTTTACTATACCATTCTGTAAATATCGCATGTCGTCGTCCTCTCAGTTTGCTCTTGGTATCGTTTCAGAAAAGGTACTTGTCTGAAGCGGCACAAAGTCGGCATTAAACTTTATGGCTGGCGACCGTAGCAAAACGGATCAGAATGAAATAAATTTAGCTCAAAATATTTTTGATTTATTTATGTTACTTTCTACAAGAATTTATATATAAATCGTAATTTGTTTATTATTTTATTTAATATAAAATTTTTTGTTAAATTTACATAATCATTATTAAATAAAAATTAATTTGAACAAACAATGAACTTTTCCGATAACTATCCCGTTTCGTTCTTTATTGCACAATTTTGTAGCTCCAGAACCCTTATTCGAAAATTGAATTTTCACTTCTATCCATATCTAACTTTTCTTTTAATAGAACAATCTGAAATGATTTGGCATTTATTACGGTACACCACATCTGCTATCCACAGTTAGTTTTTAGATTAATCCAACATTTCTAAGTGTTTTGCATGAAGTATTACTTAGATATCTTCAAGATACTTGCTTTCTATATTTCGATGATATAATATACTCATCATCACTTCAAGAATACATTCAAAAATTATGTTTTTAATTGGAATGTCATTTCTCAAAGGTCTATGCGATTACAGTAACAAAATTTTACCTTTGTTTTTCAAGCTATTTTACTTGCTTTCAAGTAAAGCGAGAGAGATAGCGGAATATTAAATACACCACTAGAGAGCCTGATTTTTTCTTTATTTTAACATTATCCTCTAAAACTGCCAAAAACCGTATGCAATTGCCGTATTTAGATATTTACGGTGTCATAACTTTCTTATATGATACGTTCAAAACACTGAGGATATATACAGTCGATTAGAAATTTTCTGTTCATGCAATGGTGTATAATAGTAATCGATAACTTGGCTAAAAGATTGCTCAGAATCAACAAATAAGCTATAAAGATGTGTAATTTTTTGCCGTTGTTGGTATCAACAGGAGAGAACAATTTTAGATGAAGGAAAGATCAGAGTTCTGAGTGATGTATTTATATCTACAATATCTCTAAAGATAAGGATGATATCGGCAAGGTGGAAAAATAAAGTTAAAAATTTGTTGTTGTCGTCGCATTGGTTACGCAAAACATTTTGGTCAGCATTCTCCCTACTTGAATGATGAAGTTTCACGTGAAATAGTTGATAAACTATCAATAGCATAGGTGCAAAAACCTATTTTGAAGAGAGGACTATTAATTGGAATATCTCAAAAACAAATAGCAGCCATGAAACGAAAATCAGTAACAGAATTAACTAGTAGAAGTAAACACTAAAAACAGGGACGCTTGCGAGAATCTTGCAACGCTTATAATAGTAAAACTTGTAATCCACATCTTTGATATACATATTACTTTTCCAATAAATGAAAGAAGAGACTCTTCATGTTTCTTGGTAGACTTTCGTTTTTCAACAAAAAGTACTTCATAGTAGTACTCAGGTTCAATCACACCTGATGGACATAATTGCGTTACTTGTTTTTTTTCGCTATCTAGAAACACTGTTATTTGAAAAGTGAATTGAATTATAGTTATTTGAGCTTTGTTAGTAAAGAACACTATTGTGCAGATCATAGCTGAACGCTTGTATATGTAGATGGCTTCGACTCATCCATTTTCTCAGAGATCACCGAGGAGTCTTACAATAAGTGCTGTTATCAACGTATTCATAGCTCGACTGTAGTATGACGAAAGATCCTAACGTAGTGGGTTTCGGCACTCGCAAAATTCCCTGTCTTCTTAATTACAAGGGATGGATGCATAACCTCCTTGCACCCGCCCTTAATTACAATAAAAGATCCCAGATGACCGAAGTATTATGACAAAAATTACTGAAAAGTGGTTGAATTGAAACTTTTAAAGATAAACACGACTCGTCTCTGATATATTTGATGATAAACCATATTAACCCAACAAGGGACTTAGTTTCAAACTTAATTTTATATCTTGATATAATTTTATTCGTATTGTTTTCATTTTCTTCTTGGCTGTTATTTTATATCTTGATTAGCAATATTTTTAATGGATTTGAACTTCATCACTTACTAACTTTGCAAAATCTGGACTCATTTTTGCATGAATCATGGAGTTTATTCCAATCATTTCGTGTTAGAAATTATGTTAGAAAACATTGTTAATCGAGATTTTTCAAACTGCTATTTTATTATAAAGTTGATACTTTTCCTTATAAGTCTTATCAGTTTCACAGAAATATTCAAAAAAAATGTAGTGGTAATGATCATAGCGAATTTACTCCGCTTGTGTAATTACTGAATAGTTTAGCTGCTTAAAGCCCATATTCTTAGAAGAAAAATAGCTTATTTGACACATTGAGCAGCATACTTATCATTTAGATCCAATGTGGTGTTATTCACCACGACATTATGTAATCAAACATCACCTCAGTCTTCAAATTAATCTCTGCCGTCAACAACTAACTCTTGAAACCGTATAGTTCTCGTTCCACTACATTTATCTTCTTGACACTTTCTTTGATACTTTGATAAACATTTTATATCACAACTTACGATGCGACTCATTCATTTTCCTTCTTGACCATATTTATAGCTATCACATAATTATTTATGTCAGCTCATTTCAAATCAAACACCCTACTCCAAAATTTTTCACTTTCCCATTTTCCCCATTTCAACTTCACATTAATTTTGAACAACTCTTCAGCTCAAATTAACAGTCTACTTTATAATACAAGTTGGGCCATGATTTAAAATTGTGCATAATTTATCACAACTAATCGAAATATTTAGCAACTTTTTTTTCATAAAAATTGAGCCTGAAAAATAATTGGTTATATGGCATGAAAATTGAGTATCAAAAAACAATTTTAATCTACGCTTTCGAAGTACATTTTGGTTAAAAAAAAAGCAAACCTGATGGTTTGTAGACATTGAAGGACGTGAACATCACGTGGTATCACCGGACGTGTTCGTTTTCGTTAGAACAAGTGCCGCAAAGAGATACTAAAACCGTTGG